AAAAAGTTTAACACCCTTGATCCATCTGTATTGATCATGTTTGACGATGGTGCTGTCATCAGCTATGGTAGGTTTCAGGTTCACTGTATTGATCATGTTTGACAATGATGCTGTCATCAGCTATGGTAGGTTTCAGGTTCACTGTATTGATCATGTTTGACGATGGTGCTGTCATCAGCTATGGTAGGTTTCAGGTTCACTGTATTGATCATGTTTGACGATGGTGCTGTCATCAGCTATGGTAGGTTTCAGGTTCATATGCACTAGCAGATTTGATAGGTCATCTTCAAACAAGTCCCAAACGGGCCAGTGAGGTATCTTAAAACTTTTGGAATGACCATTATATAAATTTTCAATGTATAGGTAAGCTTTTAAACTGACTTGACCTCATGGTGTAACTAGGGTAGAAGCTCTAATAGCACTAATGTTTCATTTACTTCTGAGGCTGAACTGATGGATTTTAAAGTTAGGTCATTATTGTTTAGTAATTGGCAAGTCATGACAGAAGTTTGGCTACCAGAACATTAATAATGTTAACCTATAATCCTTTTGATGAAATAGAAAAAGAAACAAACACACAAAGACTTCAAATTCAGTTTTTGCATTGCCTGTTCAGCTTTAATTATAAAGAGGTGTCTTGGGAAAGAGATGAGTATTCATGACAACTTAAAGATACTTACCGTTTCTTTGTTAAAGTCCATTACATTAGATTACACACGTAAAAAAATAATTTTCTGTTATAAATTTATTATAAATTTGTTTCAATATTTTGACAATAAATCAGATTTTCAGTGACATACATACAAATACGTGAAGTTTGTCAAGATCCAGGAATGTGTAGAGATTAAGGATATTTTTATATGCTGTTATCTAAAAAAAAAAACATATCTAGACAGCAAACTTAATTTTAATGGAACCCTGAAGTATTTTTCTCTTGTAAGCTGAAAAACAATATGAAATAATTTACATTTTTCTTGTTGTATAGATTATGCTTTTCCGTACATTGTGATCATCATGTCTGTTGTGTCAGTGGCCGCACATCTGGCATTTCGCCTTGATCAGGTAACTACTAACCAATGGTTAAAGACAAATACTTTCTTAGTGTTTAGGTTAAAAAATCACAAAATTAGTAATCGTCAGGAAATAAGTTTTGACAATTCTATAACATGTAATAAAATAAAAATATATTTCAAACTATTTTTATTTTTCACCCTTTTGGTAAAAATATAAAATTATGTCTAGAAAAAAGTATTGGTTGGGCATATTTAGAGTATAATTGGGTGATTAATTGAATTAATGAGTTAACTCTGAACATTGATTACATTGAGTTAACTCTGAACATAGATTACATTGAGTTAACTCTGAAAATTGATAACATTGAGTTAACTCTGAACATAGATTACATTGAGTTAACTCTGAACATTGATTACATTGAGTTAACTCTGAACATTGATTACATTGAGTTAACTCTGAACATTGATTATTATCAAGTAAAATAATTTATTGATCAAAATCCTAATTAAATTGATTACTGTCAGGACAATGATCAAATAATCAAAATTATTATTTCTGTTTTTTACTTGATTGTCTTATCTAAATAATCGAAATATTGGTATTATGATTTCTCATCATTATTTTTTTAATTAATACAGTGTTGTTCAGCTTAATTGGTTAGTGTCATGCGTGATGAAAATAATCAACTGATTGAAATTAGTAATATTGATTATTAATATTTTCATGTGAGAGTAATTGATTCCTTGAATGTAATTGATTAATGAGCCAATTATTAATCCACTAATTGCCCCAACTGTAATTTTATTTGAATAATGTTTTATTAAACTGAACCAGAAAGTTTCTGTACATTTTACAGCGCTCGTGCTTAATGTGTAGATATCCGATTACTTCATGCCAACTGAACAATTATAGAAACCAACCTGTGAAGCTAGATTTATTTTTTCTGAAGAAGCATGTTTGTGTCACATGACATCATCACAGTTACAGGATAGTTTCTATAATGTAGCCACATTGTTCACTTGGCATGAGGTGATTGAATATCTACACAGTAATCACGAGCGATGTAAAATATACAGAAAGTTTCTGATCCAGTTTAATAAAACATCATTCAAACAAAAGTTGAGTAAAATCATCTACAAGTGAACTCCTGTTTCTCTAAATTTGTCAAAATTTGTAACTTGTAGTTAGTGAGAACGATATATATTTTATTAACTTTTATGCATTTTTTTATAGTCCATGAAATCTTTGTTGATCAGCACCTTTAAAGATGTCAGGAACTTGGTTATTCTGCTCGGACATTGGTTACTTCACGCCTATGGAATAGTAGCCATTACTCAACTGAAAGAACCACTTCTCAATGGAGCACTAATCTCGCTTGTTCCTTTCCCAGCTTTCTTCTATATCCTTACATCCAAATTTACTGATCCTAGCAAGCTACACATAAATTGATGTTTATTATGTAAATGATATATTCTGACATTGCTTTTACTCTAATGCTTAGTGAGGAAGTGGTGTAAAATCAGATATTAGAAACTGCACTGAAATATTGCCGCGAACATGTACCGCATTATTGATTTACTGTACAAAGGTGTATATTTGAAATTAATTACAGTGTGAAAGATTAAGTATGTATATATATCTTATTTAGTCGTATTAGCCTATCAAAAGCTTCTGTTTATGTAAATTAGTTATTTGATTATCAGATGGGTGATTGTTGAGGTTTTTCAGAAGAAAAATAACTTATATATGATTCTGATTATCTTTGTGTTTCTTTTCATTAAATAAAGTATTTCAATTAAAAAAGAAAATCACTAGTCCATTCAGGCTTGCATGATACTTGTGCAAGATTGCATTTAGAAAATAACATTTTTCATTGACATTCAAAACAAGTACCCATTGTTTCATAGTTTGTTTGTTTTTACTGTCATCAGTCGTATTTGATGTATATATAATTATATGTATTATTGTGTAATCAATAACTTTCACCCAGTAACATCCTTCTGGGATGTGTCATAGAATATCCATGAGACATTTGGTAAGTATACTTTTCTATATATACTAGTTATCACTATAATTTTAAATAAAACCAATGTTCTACTGCAGTATCTCACAATCCTTAGATTGCTACATGAATATTTCAAATATCATATACAAGGGAAAGCACCCTCAACTTATACCAACTTCTAACAATATTTGTGTCATCCTTTGAGATGGGTTTACCCCACCCCAATGAGTAGACAGGCACATGGTCAAACAGGTACAAGCTTCTAAAAATAATGGGTGCTTGTTGCCCACCTGTTGCAAGAAGGCAGATTTCCAGGCCTTGCACAAGTTGTTATTTGCAGTCTTAGGGTCACATTTTGCACTTCCAATTTGGAGGTGGGAATGTGGCAGTCAGTTATCAAACTCTTATTGGTGGTGGCTTACCTCACCATCATTTGCAGCTGGTGGTCATATTAGGCAGAAGGTACCTTTTGACATGTGCAATCAAAGTAGGAGACAAGATCTTCCATTCCTTCATGTATGTTATTCATAAAAGTAATTCCTTCTTCAACCTTTTCTAAGAGAAGAAGGGCTTAACTATCCACAAAGCTGTTTTATGTCATCACATCATTGTAGAGATTTGTAATGCCTGTATCTTTCTCCACATACTTTGCATGAGGTGGAAGAAGTAACATGTGGGCCTAGAACACTGGTCACTGTCTGCATTTCTGCAATATCAGAATCAGTTATAACTTTAGTAGGGTCTGGTGCAAAACCAAGCTCACCATGCTTGGTTATTATGTACCCAAGCATTTCCTTATACACTGTCTGACTTTTGCTAGACAGTAATGCTAAAACACAAAACATAGCAGTACCATCTACTGGTGTACAGTTACATACAACTGTTAAAGTACTGAGGAGTCCCTCATCTGTGGCATATATCACAAGCCAGTCCCTTTCCTCAGAACCAGTGTTATACAGAAACAATAATGCAGGTGTGCCACCAAATGTGGTTGCCCAGTCACCCCTAGTGACTAGACCTCAAAGGAAAGCTGATTCTTTTGAAAAAGCACCATGCTTTTGTCTCTGGAGGTCTTGGCAGCAGATCACCGATGTTGACCCAAACCACCTCTAAAGTTACCGGGATGGCCTGTGTGAGTATCAGGCTGGGCTACTGGGCACATGGCTTACCCTAATCTTCAAGGTGCTTCTAAATTTAGCATTTCTTTCTGCTTCAAAACTATACTTTGTGAATGACCTTCTTTTTTCAAGTTGAAAAAAAAACAGTAGAGTCTTTAGAAAATGAATAGAACCTTTACAAATGAGTACAGTAAAAAAAAGTAGTTCGACCTTAAATTGAGATCTGTCTTTAAAGACCCCATGCACTTTAAAGTGGTCTGTTTATTGCATGTCCACTTTATCCAGTTTGTTCGTTTCTTGCCAATCTTTTTTACGAACGTGCCTAGCATAAGAAAGTTTTCGATTACCTCATTTAACTGTATGATATATAAATTTACCATATGTTGTTGTCTACCTTTTTATATCAATATAGTAAATTTATCAGTTATTCTGCATATGTTTAGTTTTTACATAACACGTGGTCAAGAAATTTGTTAAATAGCTTTTATTCCCTTGTCATTCTGTTAAAATCACACCTATTTTACCTGTGGATGCCATAGCTGTAATGCTGTGTTGTGCATGAATGAAGACAGTAATGTTCTTCAATGGTAGATCAGCTAGTATTTCTAAGTTATGATATCCCCTATGCTTCAGTAAGAATGACCAGTCTCGTGGGTAGCGCTAATTACTCTGGGTAATAACATTACCTGTGAAGTAAGAAATATTTAATTTAGACAGTGTATAAATCTCGACCTGATCAGTTAAAATAACTGCAATCCAGTACAAGCAACAGCCCATCTTCCAAAGCAAGTACACACACTTGGTTTGTGTTTCCTGTTATAATAAAGATTGTGAGTGTGTACTTTACATTGCGTCCAGTCTCTGTTTTCATTCTCACGAACTTGGGTATTCAGAAAAACTCAATATTACTTTGTGATAAATATATACGTTTTTGAATCTCTTGTTATTCTGTGGACCTATCCAATCACTTTAAGGAAAGTCAGTTTGACCTGACAACAGTTATAACTCAATTTTCAAACCTTCATATCATTTGATAAAGCTCAAATTTAACTGATTTTTAGGTTTGGAGATAACCCTTTATTAATGTTGCATTGGAAGATGTGCTCATTCTTGGTTTAGCTCAAAAAATAAAAACCTGTCATATAGTTTCCGTGAAGAATGTGTCACCTACTTTAATGACCAACAACAAAGAAGAAACCATAGCCCACATGCTCATTTACAAAAAAAATAAAGATTTTGTACATAAAACGAGCTAATTATTAAAGATAAACCCTGGATAACTTTTTAGAACCACGTGTTTTATATTGGTTGTCAATAGTCCACTGGTCACAAAGAAAACTGATGCACGGTTTAAAGTGATGGCAAAATTGTCTTTGAGTTTGTTCAAGGGTTGAATGACAGAACAAGAATCACAATTCAGTTTTAAACCACATTGATAAAAACCATGTACATGAGTTCCGGCCCGGCATGGCCAGGTGGTTAGGGCACTCGACTCGCAATCTGCGGGTCGCGGGTTCGAATCCCCGTCAAACCAAACATGCTCGTCCTTTCAGCCGTGGGAGCATTATAATGTTACGGTCTAATCCCACTATTCGTTCGTAAAAGAGTTGGCGGTGGGTGGTGATGACTAGCTGCCTTCCCTCTAGTCTTACACTGCTAAATTAGGGACGGCTAGCGCGGATAGCCCTCGTGTAGCTTTGCGCGAAATTCAAAACAAACAAACATGAGTTCCACATTATACCATATTTGTTTCGTGTAACTTTTGAGAAAAATAGAAATAAAGTTGAGTCGTTTTTTTTTGTTTTAATTGTTATCAATCTTGAGAATATTTAGTATTGTTGGCTAAACTTAATCTCCTGAGCTAGCCGAATTTCGTGAGAAATTGGACATACGTCCAAAGATATCGTTAAAAAGAAGACAGACCAATGTTGTGTTGGAGCATTTAGTGTGCACCCCTCCCTAATACAAATCTTTTCATTGTACTTATTAGTCGTTGTTTCCCAACTCATCATTATCTCTACTGATGGTTCAATGGGTGCTACTCATTAATTAAACATTATTAAAGTAAACTTAAGAAGACAGGAACAAAAATTATTATGTAATGTAATTTTTATTACTAATTTTAAAATTGTTGATCTTAATGTAATTTAGCCCCCCAGTGGCACAGCGGTATATCTGCGGACTTACAACGCTAGAAACCGGGTTTCGATACCCGTGGTGGGCAGAACACAGGTAGCCCATTGTGTAGCTTTGTGCATAACATATAACAAACAAACTTAATGTCATTTAATCAAAACAGTTACACTTAATTCAATAAATAGAGTTGTTTAACAACAAGTAAAATCTTGGAATGGTCTATTCTTTCATTGGGGTGTGAGCCAGACTAGTTTCGGAGAATTCCACTCCTCATCAGTGACTCTGGACACTACCACCAATGCATTATGAGACCAAACCAAGCCTTTATAGTAGTGAGGTATCGAAAATCGAACTGGTTTATTTAAGTGTTTTACACTCGCATAAAAGAAACCTATCATTCTATAGGTATTTGAAGAACTTGTAGCATTCCGCCACAATTTGATTCTTCGTATTGTTCTTCAAATACCTATAAACCAATAGGTTTCTTTTATGTGAGTGTAAAACACTTGAATACACCAGTTCGAATTAGACTTAACATTAATTATAGTTTGTAGCATCGTGAAAATGAAAATTAAATCTCTTGCCAAACAATCTACACTTCCAAGGCCAAGTGTGGCCCAATGGCTAAAATGTCGGACTGTGGATTCAACGTTTTGTAGTTCTCGCCATTTTACCGTAGAAAACAAACAAAACGTTCTCCCTATTTTGGAGCCACGGATGCATTATAAGAATGGTGGTCAAAATCTACTATTTAATTATAGTTGGCGGTTTGTAATGTTGATTAGCTGCCTTCTTTTTAGTCTATCACTTCAAAAGCTAGCACAGAAAACCTTCGAGTAGCTTTGGGCGAAAAATTCAACAATAATTTTCACTTTCACTACGAATTATTAAGAAAATTCTAAACTTGGCAGCAACTTGATAATTTTATAATTAAATAAGCGAGACATTATAATAGAGTAGGCCAGAAAAGCAGTAAAAAAAAAGTATTATTATAGATTGTGGTTATAAAGAAAACACCCAGGCACTTGACCTTTATAGAAGTGCACATATATGCTGAGCAATATTAGACAAACATATCCAGTTTACACTTTGTATGCGATCTGATATGCACATTTATCGCCTCATTAACTCAATTTGAAATTGGATAGATGAGTTATATTGTAAAGATTATCGTTGTTGGAATTGATTTATTTTATTAATGGACGCTAGAAACAGAAGAAATTTCTTTAGCTTTTAAAGAAGCATTTTCCCCATTATGAAATTGAGTTCAATAATTACATTGATAATAAATGTATATAGAGTTTGAGGTACATCATATTTATTTAACAGAAAATATTGAAACACATTTGAGGGCCAGGTGGTTAGGGTACTCGACTCGCAATCCGAGGGTCGCGGGTTCGATTCCCCGTCACACCAAACATGCTCGCCCTTTCAGCCGTGGGTGCGTTATAAAGTGACGGTCAATCCAACTATTCGTTGGTAAAAGAGCTATCCCAAGAGTTGGCGGTGGGTGATGATGACTAGCTGCCTTCCCTCTAGTCTTACACTGCTAAATTAGGGACGGCTAGCATAACAAACAAACGCATTTGAACAACATTACACCCTCTATACGTTGGCATATGACGTATCTGAAGTACATTTAATTCACTATATCATCATTATACAATAAATGAACACAAGAAAGCAAACAAAGCTTGTGATATGAATTTACTACTTGGTGTCGAAATATAACATTTAAGAGTACTTGTTCAGTCAATTTTTCGGTCACAGTAATATGTTAAAGTGTTTGTTTGGTTTAGAGCAAAACCACATTGGGCTGTCTGCTGTGTCCACCGCGATAATTCGAACTTAGAATTTTAGCGTAGTAAGTGCGTAGACTTACCGCTATCCCAACTGGGGCCAGTATTTTAGAATGGTCTGAAATAGCCTGGTGGTTAGGGCGTGTTATTATATCGCATCGTTTCGGCAATGGGATTTATGTCTTTGTAGACCTAGGAGGGTCAGATACAATCTAGACATCTTCCTCCCTCCTGTACTGTGTTTGATATATACTGTAAAATGCTATTTAGAACTTCGAGTAAACAGGGCTAGAAGATTTACTAGTTAACACTGTTTACGCATGCTAGATATACACGACTGTTTAATTTAGTTATTTTAAAAAACGACATTTTATCGCAGGTTTGTTTAAGTACCTGTGCACGAATCATGCATTGTGTAGTTCAACGGTTGTGAATTGGTGCTTGTTGTATTAATGAGTCACGTTACTCGAACCTTCTGAATTTTTCTCCTTACTTTAAATAAGTATTGCTGCATCACATATCTAGTAGTGTGTGGAATGTTCGAGACTGTTGTCGTGTGTATGTGTACATATTTAGTTCAATAATAGAAGTTAACTAAAAGTGAGTGAAGTTAGTGAGAGATGTAGTCAAATAGATCTGGACTGCGTGTTTGTGATATTATCCATAAAGAGTGTATGTTGGCGATTTTAAAGTGAAATCATCACAGATTGTATTGTAACAACAGAATATAAAATATTAATTTGTCTTGCCAGTTGTGTTCTAACGTAATTGAAAAACCTTGTGAACTTTTGACGAAAAGAGACGCTTAGTTAAAGCTCTGGATACAGCTGCGGTAACCAACATTGTAACATAAGTGAAATTAACACCAGTTGTATTCCAACAACAGAACAGAGGAGAATAATTCGCCTTGTCAATTGTGTTCTAAAGTAACTGAACCAGCCTGTGTGGACATTGAAGAAAATAGACGCTTATTTGAAGCTCTGGAAACAACTGTAATTAGCTGTGTAATGAAAATTTGTATATACATTTGACTTGTTTTAATATATAATTTTAAAACAAGTAAACTGTGTGCTGTTTGTTTACTGTTGAAATTTATCGCCAACAAGTTACAGACACCTACTGTAATTTTTAAAGAATCTTGCCCATATCCATACCTAAAAACCTGACAGGGCGTTTGACTCTAAGTCTATGGGTCGCGGGTTCGAATCACAGTATCAAGCTGTGAACGTGAATACCACTTTTCGATTAGAGTAGCCAAAGAATTGGCGGTGGGTGGTGTTTACTAGCTGTGTTCCTTCTAGTCTGTAACTTCTACACTATGGACTGCTCGCAGATAACTCTCGAGTAGCTTTGTTCCAAATTCACCAAAATATACAAATATCTTTAAACATAAATATAGAGCAGCAGGGTATTCAGTCAATTAAGGTTACTAACCAATCGAATTCCTACAAAATATGTCTAACGTTATATTTCAGATTACGAAAGCACTCGAAATGGTTTAATTGCAACATGCGTAATTCCTAGTCACGCTCAATAATTTTTGTTATAAATTTAAAAAGGAGGGTTACGTTAAAAAGCCGCTGTACAATAAAAGAGAAAACAGTAAGTCGTTACTAAAAACATACACTCATTCAAAACTAAATAGTAAACTAGAAACGAAACTTTCGAGCAATGTAAATTTTATGTTTTTATCTTTTATTTTGAACAAGACTCGTGACTAAGATACTTTTTCATTATAAGTACCAAACATGTTTCACAAATTTTCGAGATATATGTATTATTGTCATTTACTTTTCTATTCTGCATAAAACTAGAAGTTGTTGTATAATTTTTATAAGTAAGGATTTTCATAAATTAATTTTAATTATATTAAATTTAAAATAGGGCTTATTGCTGACGAGCTGGTGAATTTTTTTTCACTAAACCAGTGAAAGTTAGGCTTAACGTGAAGGTAATTACAAAGTCAGTTTTTAAGGTTGGAGTTTGAAACATATTATTTAGTTGTTTTATTGAATATTGGTAAAAAATATTTGTAATTGTCAGATTATTGACGTTTTTTAAATTAAAGGCTTCTGGTAAGCTTACCACTTGTTTAAACTAACGTCAAAATGTCTGCAGTATTGACTACTTGACTAGGCTTAAACTTTAAACATAAACTAAGTTAAAGCCTTAAATTTAAAAGTAAAATTAATACTGAAAGTTAATATGACTAAATTAGTCAACATAGAATTTATTAATAAAATTAAAAGTAATACACAATTAAACCATAATCATTTATTAATTAAATACTACAAGGTATATAACTTATAAATATAAGTAAACCTAGGAATAAAATTTATGAAAACGGTGCGTTGTGGCATAACTATTTGACATGATTTGTTGCTTCTTTGCATTCAACTATCATTCTAGTACTATTAGTAATAGTAATAATGAAAGAATATTATTAATATGATAAAAGAAAATAGAAAAGTCTAAGTGAACAACAATGCGTTACATAGGTATTGCTAAGTTAATGTTTTATTCACTCTGTATTCCTATGAGTATGACTATGTTATTAATAAAGTTAAACTAAACAAAATCAAAAAGTGAAAAAGAAAATTGGAGCAGAATTGTTCATAACCCAAGTACTGGAAAGTTTTTTTATTTTACAATTTGATTCTTAACATGTAAAAAATACCTTCTTAGCCCTACATTTGGGCTATGATGCACTTACACCATACAAATCACTTTAATTAAAGTTTTCTTTTTGATTTTTCTTAGTTTAATGATAATAATATATATATGTTACTGTTAGCTTATGTGCTTACTTTTGAGTTTTACTCAGAACTTCAGTAGTCGTAGTAGAAGATAATATTTAGGTAGTACTATAAAGATATAATACTAATAGTAATGATAATAGTTTTTTATTTATTAGTAGATCATGTAAATTCTTTCATCAACAATTATTTTTAACTTGCTGTAGAGTGAACTTTTGGAATGACTTGTATAATTTGGTTAGGATTTTATAGTTTTGTTGGATAGGTATATGGATGTGATGGGTTGTTTAAGATGAAAAGTATTATTACTGAATGAGGGATTGATCTCAATGAACAGAATGTTTACTCTTATGAGAGATTAGTGCAAAAATTACACCCAAATAAACACAGTTGTCCTTCTAATGACCACTAAGAATGTTACATTTAACAATGAGA